AGATGTAAGACAAATAAACCCTTTCCTCCCCAAGTTGGTATTGGTCAGAGCATTTTGTCACAGCAATGGAGAACAAACTAAGACAACACACCTGGAATGAGAGAACCTCATTTGAAGCAAGCCTCCGTTGGATTAGCCCGTGGCCGTGTCTGGCCATTCTCTGAGGCTTGCTTTTCCTTCCTTCCTCCCTCCCTTCCTTCCTCCCTTCCTCCCTTCCTCCCTTCCTCCCTTCCTCCCTCCCCTCCTTCCTTCTCTCTTCCCTCCCCTCCCCTCCCTTTCCTTCTCCTCTCCTCCCCTTTCCTCCCTTCTCTTCTTTTCTTTTCTTTTTGGTCTTTTTGAGACAGGGTCTTCCTATAGCCCCAGTGGGCCTGGAGCTCACTATATAGACCAGGCTGGCTTTGATCTCAAAGCTTCCTGAGTACTGAGACTAAAGGCATGCACCAGCACACCCAGCTCCTTCCCTCCTTCCTTCCCTCCTTCCTTCCCTCCTTCCTTCCCTCCTTCCCTCCTTCCTTCCCTCCTTCCTTCCCTCCTTCCGTCCCTCCCTCCCTCCCTTCATTATATGTGTATGGGTGTTTTGCCTGTGTGTATGTAAATGCACTGATGTAATGCCCATGGAGGCCAGAAGAATGTGTCAGATCCCCTGGAACCCGAGTTAAGGACAGTTGTTAGCCATCGTGTGGATGTGGGGAACTGAACACGGGTCCTCTGTAAGAGCATTCAGTGCTCTTAACCACTGAGCCATCTCTCCAGCCCCATGAGGCATTTTCTTGATTGTTGAGTGATGTGGGAGGGCCTAGACTACTGTGGGTGGTGTACTGGGTTATATAAATAGTGCTGAGCATAGGCTAGAGTAGCAAGTCAGTAAGCAGTAGTCCTCCATGGTCTGTGCTTCATTCCCTACTTCCAAGTTCCTATAGTTAATTCCTGATGTGACTTCTCTTAGTGATAAACTATGATCAGGAAGTGATATAAATCTTTTTCTCCCCAAGTTGGTTTTGGTCACAGCAATAGAGATACAGACTAGAACACCTGGGCTGCATAGTAAAACCCTTATTTCCAAAAAGGTTAAAGTTTGGTCAAGTCTTTTAGTTTTTCCAGTTCTCAGTGTTTGTTTATATATATACATATATATATATATATATATGTATATATATAATGTATGTGTGTATATGTATATGTATATAACATTTAGTGTGTGCATTCATTTCTGTGTTTGTGGGTTTTTTTTTTTGTTTTTTTTTTTCTTTTTGGTCTTTTTGAGACAGGGTCTCCCTATAGCTTCAGTTGAACTCACTATGTAGACTAGGCTGGCCTTGAACTCAGAGATCTGCCTACCTCTGCCTCCTGAGTGCTGGGATTCAAGGCATGCACCAGCATACCCAGCCCCAGTGTGGTCTTCTTTTAACACTGTGTCTCAGAGGCCAAGAAAGGTTCTATGCTGGGCTCATAGCTACATGACATCCAAGTTCAGCCCTTATGATCTAGTGACCATGACAGAGGCTGAACTGTGAGCAACTGTGCAACACTTGAGCTACCTCTGTGTTCCTATGCCCTTTTGGAGTTTTGTGTTACTATCCACAAGGATGAGGACAGTTTCTGGAGATGTGGGCACCTAGGATTTGATCCCTTCCCATTGCCTAAGTTACTTTGCTGGGCCAGGCAGCTGCCAGAGGTGAGGGATGAGATGAGGTGGGGAGGGCTGGGAGGAGACTGGCTTAGGCATCTCAGCTGGTAGTGAGAATCAAGGTGGGTGATTTGCCAGGGTGATTAGCTTAATGAGGCTTCAGGGTACCTAGGTTTGTACGTGCTGAGCGTGGGAGAATCCCTCAGGGCATCATCGTGTCAGCTGCTTGCAGGCTGCCTCCAGTCTTGTGTCTTAGGGATGCCAAGAATTGCACTGGACAAAGCAGCACTAACACAAAGTGACCTTTTCTTTTATAGCAGATGGCTGAGGACAAGGCCTCAGTGAAAGCCCAGGTGACATCATTGCTAGGGGAGCTCCAGGAGAGCCAGAGTCGCTTGGAGGCTGCCACCAAGGAACGACAGGCTTTGGAGGGCAGGTGAGTGGGGAGGGGAAGCTAGCCCTGGAGCCCCTTCCAAGGTGTGACCCACCAGGAAGAAGTCATTGGTGAAGACTGGAGACACTTCCACAGTCACTCTCCATGAAAGGCATAGAACCCACACTGGCCACATCTCACTAGAAACTCTGAACCCTATGTTTCTGTTGGGAACTGATCATATTGACATCCTCTACGACATGTATACACCAGCATTTTGAACTCCTGGCAGAAAAATGAGTATTTGGTGTAGGCCATGGCCAAATAGTCCAGAGAGAGTATCAGAGCAGCACAGAGAACTTGCACTAGTCCAGGGAGGAACTTGCACTAGTCCAGGGAAGATCTTGCCAACTAGTGGCTTTGGGCCTGTCACTCTCTTTTGCTAAGTGGATTGGATTGCCAAGTGGGATAAATGGGTCACAGGTATGGGTGCTGTTGTTACTCTTACACTGACTGTGTTGCTGCTGTTCACCAGATAGTTGAATGTAGCTGACAGGATGGCCCTGCTGTGGCCCAGCTAGTACATAGGTGGTCAGTGTGTTTGTAGAGCAATTGTGAGGACTACTGCCCTGCAGGAGGAAGGGGAGTTTGCTGGTGGTGGCTGGGGAGGGAGGGCAATGTGAGAAAATGCTAATGGGGAGCAGGCCCAATAACTCAGGCCTGCCTTTTCAGAGTTGGGGTGACTTGCAGCCATAGGCCACCTCAGAGACCCATGGAAATGCCCACCATTGCCCCTATAGTGGGCATCTGGATGGTACCAGGTGATGGAGTGGGAACCTGGCAACTTGAGCTTAAGGGAAGCTGTGGGATGCTGTGGGTTTGATCAGGAGTTTTTGGGGCTATGGGTGATTTAGATGAAACAACTTAAGCTTTTATAGTGAGTGTAGAAGGAGAGATGAATTTCCTGCCAAGGCTATTGATGCCACGTTCTGTCTCACAAGGCCATGTGGTCCAGGTCTGGAACCTAAGCCTCCCAGAAGAGTGCCTGGGACCCCAGCTAAGCTGTGAGCAGTAGCAGCACAGCAGCCCCTCTTCATCTTTGAGCTCAATGCTAACATACCCAGATGGGCAGTTTCCTTGCTGCTTGTAGAACAGTCTTTCTTCATACCCTTCCACCCAGACTGTTCTGGCACCTTCCCAGGGGCTTCTCCCACCTGGCCCCAGCAACCAGCTTCATGGTCTGCCTCCTTGTCCTGGCTTCCAGGTGACCTTGCCATGTGCACACAGTTGCCTTTTGGGCTCCTGCACGAAAGCAAGCATGTGTCGGGGTGGCTCCTTATCTACCATTTTCCAGCTGCTGCCTTGCCACTGTCCTTGTCTCTTGCCACGTGAAGTCAGCATGCAGTCCCAGTGTGTTCTCCAAGCTGCCTTGCTCACAGCCCCTTCAGTGCATTTTCCTTTGTTGCATGCCAGGGTGCGAGCAGTCAACGAGCAGGTCAGGCAGCTGGAGAGTGAACAGGAGGTGTTGCAGCAGCAGCACAGTGTGCAGGTGGACCAGCTGCGCATGCAGAACCAGAGTGTGGAGGCTGCCCTGCGCATGGAACGCCAGGCTGCCTCAGAGGAGAAGTGAGTCGCTGGAATGGGTGGAGCTCTGGTATGCCAGATGGCTTACAGTGCTTTCTGGGGAGCCCTGATAGGGACTAGCTGTGTGTAGTGGGGCTGTCTCCATTTGCCGTGGTAGTGACAGAGTCAACTGTTATATGTAAACAGAATATTTTCTATGATCCAGTCCACATTCAGTGTACAGCCTGCATAGGTTCTTTCCCCCATAGTTAGAATATGCTCCTGGTATACAGAGAACAAGGAACCATTAGTAGCCACAAGCTGGCCCTAAAATCTTATCTAGACTCAACACTGCTTACACCTCAGGCTCTTAACCTATCTGTTGGCTCTTAACCTATCTATTGGTTCAGTATCCCAAAGTCCTTTCTTTGACATGCCTTTGGAGTTTCCGTTCATCTACAACAGTCTCACTGCCTCTCTGCTGTTTATGAAGGTGCCATTTTATTACAAACATTTCACTTGTTTTCTTTTTGATGCTGGCAATGGAACCCAGGGTCTTTAGCACACTAGGCAAAGGCTCTACTCCTGAGCTGTACCCCCATCCTTATTGCAAACATCCTAAGATATTTGGCTTTAAGGAAAACATGAACTATTTGGCAGCCAGGTTAGTTGCAATGAATCCTTGTAGTCAACAAAGCCTGCCTTAGAGTTGAAGGCCTCAGGAGCCCAGATGTAATTCAGAAAGCCCACATTCCATCATCTTATGGGACAAGAAGGAAGAGGGTAAAGCTGTGCCAGGCAAGCTGTGGATGCACTGGGACAAAGCAGTTCCTCCAGTGACAGCTCGTTTTACACAGGCGGAAGCTGGCTCAGTTGCAGGTGGCCTATCACCAGCTCTTCCAAGACTATGACAACCACATCAAGAATAGCATGGCAAGCGGAGAGCGCAAGCGAGTAAGTATGGCTGTCCTGGGCTATACAGGAAGAGCTTCTCCCCTTCCTCCCACTCTGTACCAAGGACAGAGAACAGCATGATCCTTGAGGCCTGGCAGAGTTGGCTTTTGGAAGGGACATTCAAGTTGACTGAGACTTTCATCAGGGCCACAGCTATGTGACTGAGCTTGGTACCTTCAGATGCTCTGCCTGTGGGGACAGGATTGGTTTTCTGTATGGCCATTCCCTCCTACTCAGAGCTAGGGGATCTCCTGAAGTGTTTGTAGGGTTACTCAGAGGTCTTTTTGGGTTTTTCTTCATCAGACCTAAACTTGGTAGTTTCAAGTGATCGCTGTTTGTGTGTGTTTGTGTGTGTGCACATGTGTGTGCACGCATGCATGTGGAGGACCAAGGACAACCTTGGTGTTTTTCCTCATGAGCTATACAAGGCCAGCTTAAAAAAATAATTTTAATTTATTTTTATTTAATTTATTTTTATTTTTTATTGAGCTTTTATAATTTCATGCAACAGTTCTTAATCAAATTTAGACCTCTCCCCTCATCCATGCTCCCCATCCCCCAACCAGACTTCATGTATTCTGTCATACATGTTAAGTCTTATCCAGTCAAGCAATGGTTTTCATGTGCTTAAGTGTTTTGCCTGTTTCTATGTTAACTACATCCATGGATGCAATGCCTGTGAAGGCCAGAAGAGGGAGTTGGAGCCTATGAAATTAAATTTAGTCACCATGTGGATGCTGGGAACTGAACTCCAGTCCTCAGGAAGAGCAGCCAGTGCTTTTGTCTCCTGAGCCATCTCTCCAGCCCCACGGCTTTTTAAAATGTGGGTTTTGGGGATTGAACTTAGGTCCTCTCAAGGATTTTACTGGCAACTATTTCCCCAGCCATTTTTTTTTTTAATTTTGAAAATTTTTTATTAGCATTACTTTATTTTTTATTCTTTTTAAAATTTTGTTTATTTTTATGTGTATGTGTGTATTACCTGCATGTAGGTAAGTGCACCTGTATCATGCAATGCCCGTGGAGGACAGAAGAGGCTGTCGGATCTCCTGGAACTGGAGTTATGAACAGTTGTTAGCTGCCATGTGGGTTCTGGGATTCAAACCCAGGTCCTCTGAAAGAACAGCCAGTGTTCTTAACTGCTGAGCCATCTCTCCAGCCCCTATTAGAATTACTTTAAAAAAAAATATGATTACATTCAAAAACTTTGTATATGTTGGAGAATTTGGAAAGGGAGTGAATGCCAAACTCATATTACAGCAACAGTGATAAATTTCACAGTATTGTTGAAACTTGGTAGTATACTTTTGTCAGTGAAAAATACTCAAAAATTGTAGATACATAGAATTATCAATTTACATTTTGATTTTTTTTTGAGACAGCTGGCCTGGAACTTCCTATGTAGACCAGGCTGATCTTGAACTCACAGAAATCTGCCTGCCTCTGCCTCCCAAGTGCTGGGACTAAAGGTGTGGGCCACTACGCCTGGCAATGTGAATTTACATTCTTAAATACAATTACATAATTTTTGAGAATTTTTTATATTTTATTTTTATTTTATATATATGAGTGTATTGCCTGCATGTAAGTACACCCATGACAGCTAACAACCATCTGTAACTCCAGTTCTAAGAGACCCGATGCCCTCTTCTGACTTCTGTGGGCACTGCTGAGCCATCTCTCCAGCCCGTACTTTGAGAATTTTATCAGTTTAGTTATTAAAGTAATTTTTTTCAACTTTTTAGACTGTGATTTTTATCTCTAGAAGTTCAGTTAGATGATTTATATTTTCTGTAGGGCACATGTGAAGGTGCACTGGGGTTGTAGAAGAGTAATAGTAAAGTGATGGGAAACCTCTCAGTGCCTGGAAATGGGAGAGGACCAATGTCAAGGTCTGGATGCCCAGGACCACATGTAGAGTCAAGACCACAGCTAGCCCTTAGGGGAGGTGGGAAGCTCGTTCTGGAGAATCAGACTAGAATCTTCAAATGACAGAGACCTCCCCTGTCCCCAGCATAAGCCCAACACAGGGGCAAAGCCACTGCCATGCACAACTTGGGACCTTGGGGGAGGGAGACTGTGGGGAATACAGTTACTCAGAGAAGGCTGAAACTGGTGGCCAACATCAGGCAATCCTCCATCCTCCAATTTGCTCCACCATCAGTACCACCAGAGGAGTGTGGAACTGTGGCTTATGGTTGGGGACCATAGCTTCAGTTTCATGGGAGGGGACCACCACTCCAGCTTAGCCCAGACCAATTTTTAGGGTTTTTATTTTTTTGTTATTTTTTGAGACAGGGTTTTCCTGTAGGAAAAGACCTATAAGTTGCTATATAGATCCTTCTGCCTCTGCCTCCTGAGTTCTGGGACTAAAGGTGTATGCCACTATGCAGGCAGTTTTTTGAGACAGGATTTTATGTAGTCCAGGCTGGCCTTGAACTCCAGATTCTCCTGCCTCCATCTCCTAAGTGCTGGAATTTTAAGTGTGTGCCACCATGACCAACATTCTAGTGATTACATTTTAAGAAGGACATTGACAACCATGAATGTACCCAGAAGAGATTTATAAGGATTAAGATTGAAACTGGGTCACATGAGGAAGATTTAGCTACAAAATGACTGCTTAAGGGGCTGGATAGATGTTTCAGTGGTTAAGAGTGTTTGCGGCTCTTCCAGAAAACCTGGAAGAATTTGGTCCCCCAGTACCCACATTAGGCGGCTAACAACCACATGTAACTCCAGTTCAGGAGACTTGATGCCCCCTTCTAGTCTCTGCAGGCACCTGCACATATGGCATATAGACAGACGTGTATACACATAATCAATGGCTGCTTAATTTCTGGAGGGAATTCTTGGTGGGGTCTGTGTGCGCATGTGTATAGGGTCTGTAAAAGTGTGTGTGATGTGCAGACCTTTGACCAAGTTAGCAGAGTGGCAGCATTGCTGGGTGTGTGGTGGGCCTGCTGTCAGTGGAGGGTTATTGCATGGTACTTGCTCAGTGTGGAATTGACAGCCTTAGGAGGAGGTGGTGCCTATCCTTGAAGAGTCAGAGGAAGGCGGCCTAGCTGACGATTCTGTGAAAGAAATGACTCTGGACTGCTGGACTGGGAGTCTTAGAACTTCAGCGGTCCCCTCAGTCCTAAGATCCCTGTGCACCCTGAGAAGGACTTCAGCATTTTTTCTGTCCTTTCGGGCCATGACAGGATGTAGTCTTCTTCCTGCACACATGGAGGTCCTGTCATTGGCCCATAGGTCAAAGGGACTGGTGTTGCCGCAGCATTGGAGAGCCAGGGATTCCCTTTGTCCCTCTGGATTCTCAGAGCAGTGGACAGCACTCCTTGTTCTTCTCTAGGGCATGCAGCTGGAGGATGTCAGGCAGCAGCTACAGCAAGCCGAGGAGGCGCTGGTGGCCAAGCAGGAATTGATTGACAAGTTGAAAGAGGAGGCTGAGCAGCACAAAATAGTGATGGAGACTGTGCCAGTTCTGAAGGCCCAGGTAAGGGCTCTGCTTCCTGCCCCCTACATGAGTAGCCCATTCACCCTCCCATCCAAGCACTGGGGCCTGGTGAACCTCTTCAGCATTGTTTTGCGGTGGCCTCTGTTTTTCTGAGTCTGTCGGACTGTTAATTGATCTGTCAGTGCCCAGGTGGTCATAGGCTGTCATATCTGTTACCTGTGTACTATCATGGGGTCTTGGGGGACAAGATAGGGCCCTGTTCCCCTGAGGTGTGGCATGGAGTGCTTGATGGGCAGCTGGTGGGTTATGGGCATACCTCTGTTCAATTTGCCAGGCGGATATCTATAAGGCTGACTTCCAGGCTGAGAGGCAGGCTCGAGAAAAGCTGGTGGAGAAGAAGGAACTTTTGCAGGAGCAGCTGGAACAGCTGCAGCGCGAGTTCAGCAAGCTGAAGGCCGGCTGCCATGAATCAGCCAGGTAGGCCGCTGGGAGTGTCAAGATAACCACTGAGTAGAGCAGGCACACATGGAGTACACACATACTAGGCAACACCCAGTAGTAACTTCAGGAGATTTATGGCTCTTGGCTTTTGTGTTAGGTTCTCTGTACCTCTCACTGCTCTCCCTGTGTCCTGTCCTTCCAATAGTGATCTTTCTTAATGGTCCAGTTAGGTGCTTCACAACAGTGCATGCATTGAGAGGTTGTCTAAGACTGGAGTGTTTATAGAGATACATAGGGTTGAATAGCATCCCAAATTCATATCTACCTAAAACTTCAGAATATGACCCCATTTGGAAATAGGATCTTCACAGATGTAAGTAGTTAACATAAGGCCACAGTGGGGTCCCTAAATTCAGTAAATTAACTGTGATCTATGTAGAAGCACCACGTGAAGAAAATAGAAAAAGCCACAGCAGAGACTGAGCTACAAGCCAAGGAGTCCCAAGGACTCTGGAAACCACTAGCATCTAGGGGAGGGCATGGTGCTTCTGCCCAGTCAGAAGCTTGATTTAGGACACCTGGCCTTCTGCATTATGAAACCACATTTCTGTCATTTTTTTGTTTTGTTTTTAAAAAATATTTTTATTCTTTGAGAATTTTATACAATTTATTTTGATCATATTCCCCTCCCTCCCCACTCTTCTCTCAGATCCACCCCCACCTCCATACCCACTCAACTTCATGGCCATGTTAGAATAGCGAAAAGCCCTATAAAAATATAAAAAAATTTAAAAAAGAGTACACGAAGTTGTCAGGAAAAAGTGATGGGGAGATATGGGAGGAGTTGGAGGGGAGGGAATAGGCATGGATTTGATCAAAGCACCTTATATACATATATTCCCAATAATTTTTTTTAAAAGTTAAAAGAAAAAAGCCCATCTAGTCCAATTTGTGTTGTCCAAATATCCCTACCATCCTGCCAGTGGTCACATCCTTTTTTTTCTTTTTTGAGAAAGGGTCTCCCTGTAGCCTCAGCTGGCATGGAACTAGCTATGTAGACCAGGCTGGCCTTGATCTCACAGCAATCTGCCTGCCTCTGCCTGGGATCAAAGGTGTGCGCCATCACGCCGAGAACATCCTTAAAGCTAAAAAATAAAAATGAAGGGCCAGGTGTGGTGGCACATGCCTTTGATCTCAGTTCAAGGCCATTCTGGTCTACATAGTGAGTTCTAGGCCAGTTGAGGCTACTGGGAGACCCTGTCTCAAAAAGACCAAAAAACAAGACAAGACAAAACAAAACCAAACCTTCCAAAAACAAAAACCGTTTTCTATTTCCTAGCACCTATTAGTTGTCAATAGCTCCTCAGCTAGGGCTCCTCAGCTGCCCCCCCCGCCCCATGCTGGGATTTTGTTTGCCTTGAGCTTGAGCAGGTCTTGTGCATGCTGTCACAAGTCACAAGTGCTATGAATTCATAGGTCCACCTGCCTTGTTATGTCTGGAAAACGGTGTTTGGTTGTAGTTATCACCACATCTGGCTCTTAACAGTCTTTCCACCCTCTCTTCCAAGGAAATCCCTAAGTTTTGGCAGGGTGTGATATATATGTCCCAATTAGGGCTTAGCACTCTAGTCTCTTATCCTCTGCATGTTGACCAGTTGTGGGTCTCCATGTTAATTCCCATCTGCTGTAAAAAGAAGCTTCTCTGATGAGAAGATGAGAGATGCACTAATGTGTGAGTATAACAATAAGTCACTAGGAGTTGGTTTAATACTATGTCCATTTAGCAGGATAGTAGTAGTAGTGTCTATGACCTATATAACCATAGGTTCTTAGCCCTGATATGGTGTCAGGTATGGGTTCCATTTTGTGGAGTAAGCCTTAAATCCAACCAGAAAGTGTTTGATTATTCCTATAACATTTGTGCCACTATTGTACCAGTGGGCATATGTTGGTAGGCCCATTGTCATTGGAGCTCATAGGGTTCACAGCTGGGTAGGGTTGATGCATACCTTTCTTTTCCAGTAGCATGCATAGCACCTTCTAGTATTGTGAAAGTTAGCCAGTAGAGATGAAGCTTTGAGGTCAGGACCAGCTTGACTTCTCCGTCTTTGTTCTATGACTCAAGTATGTAGTGTCTTCAGCAGTAGGGACTTACCATCAAATTCTGGAAAGGCAAACAGCAATGGCAATTGCCAGTATCGGTTGAAAGTCTATGGGACCTCTGTAGGTCAATAATTGCAAAAAAAGGAGTTCATTCCTGACATTGACTTTTTATTTGCTTGCCTATAGTGTCTGGTAAGGGCACTGTTACCCTATTATAGGGTAACTCCATTTAAACTCTTTATATTGTATATTTGTACATTTTAGAAAGCTTCATCTCTAATACTCCCTTCTCTATCCTGCCCTCCCATCCCGTACTCCATTTAACCTTCTTGTCTCATTAGTTTCCCCCTTTTCCATCATTCCCCTTTAAGTCTGGGTTACCTTGCTCAGGATATTTCCAATTCCATCCATTTACCTGTAAATTTCACAATTTAGATTTTCTTGACAGCTCAATAATATTCCATTGTGTAAATGTACCACATCTAGGTTGTTTGCATTTCCTGGTTGGAGTCAAGGATGTAGGACACCACTTATTTCTGTCATTTTAAGCCACTAAGTTTTTGATAGTTTGTGACAAGCTGCTGAGGAAACTAACACAGGGGGAACGTGGGCAGTGATTGCTAATAAGTAAGTGTAGTTTCTGTTTTGAGATGATGAAAATATTCTAAAATTATGGTGATGATTGGATGTGCTGAATGTAGTAAAAACTACTGAATGATACTTAAACCGTGACTTGTATGACATGAATTACATCTCAGTAAAGCTGTATATACATTTAAAAAACTGTTAGCATTGAATAAATGGTTTCTGTTTTCAAAGGATTGAGGATATGAGGAAGCGGCATGTAGAGACTTCCCAGCCCCCTCTACCCACTGTTCCAGGTGAGTGAAGAAATGGGCATCAGGCTGTGGGAGGAGCTGGCAGCTAGGGAATCTGTGCTGAGGGAAAGTGTGTGCTAGCCTCCATGCTGCTCTCATTCTCGGAGCTGTTTTTGGCCACCCCTATCAGTAGCCACACCACCTTGAGGCTACAGGAGGAATGTAAACGTGACTCCCTGCCACACATGTAGTCATATAGAGTGGTCCCATCAGGTCTCTGTACCTTGCCGTTCCCTCCTTCCCTTTGAGGTCTACCCAGACTGTACATGAAGCCTATACAGCTGGTATCTGGTTTTTTGTTTTTTTTGTTTTGTTTTGTTTTGTTTTTTTTAGCTCACTCCTTTCATCCACCCATCCCCAACCAGAGGAGAAGCCCTCCTGAGGAACCACCTGACTTCTGTTGTCCCAAGTGCCAGTATCAAGCTCCTGATATGGACACTCTACAGATACATGTCATGGAGTGCATTGAGTAGGACTGGCAGATGCAAGGCCATCTGGGATACCATGCCTGAACAATGTAACCTGAGCTTTCCTCTCCCATCTGCCTACTCTACAATTAAAAGCGGAGCTGGCAGACCCTTGCTTCTGCCCTTCTGTCTCTAGTCACCCTGTCAGACTAGACAGCCCAGCCAGCCCTCATACTCTGCACTTTGCCTTTTCTTCTGTGTGCCTGAGCCACTTGCCTCTGATGTCTTCTTCCTCTCTCTCCTCCCATTTCCCTGGGGAGTTTACAATGGAAGCCAAGGTCTCTCAGGGAGCACCCTTTCTTCAAGCAGAGCTGGATGCAGCTCTGCCTCTCTCCAGCTGGTGCCTTGCCTACCCTGAGCTGCAGGACATATAGTACACAGGGACATATAGTACACAGGGGCTATAGCATGGTGTGTTAGCCACTTGTCTCTGATGGATATTTGGGAAATTTCCCGAACTTTCCCTACTAGAAATAATGGTGCAGTGAAAGTACTTGTGCTTTGATCCGTGTGTACTTTTGGGACAGATGCTTAGATGTGGCACTGGAGCCCTTGCCAGGGATGAGGTGAGCAGACCTTTGGATCTTTGCTGTCTCCTAGATGTGCTGTTCTTCACTGAGTGCGCAGGTCCTTCTTTCTCTGCAGGAAATTAGTGGCTTTTCAGATTTTCTGCCCATGTTTTATTGGGTCATTACCCTTTGTTCCTAGGCTTTGGGGAACTCTTTGGTTATAGCCAGATAGCTCTTGACTGTCACAGAAAGCACACGTCTTGTCCCACTTTGAATCTGTTACTGTTTATGTATTTGATGTACCCATTTCTTATTCCCATTGCTTCAGCTTTGGAGTTGGGACTACTTTGTGGTCTGACAGGTGTTGCACATGCCCACTTTTCTTTTTCTGACACCAGTGTGCTCTTGTGTTTGCCAAGCATATTGTCCTATGTGAATGGTGATGGCCACAGTTTGTGATGCTATTATCGTCCACTAGCCCAAATGTCCTGCCTTGGGAGCCATTTGGCAGTGACTGGCAGATTATGAACAAGGGGACTCTTCACTTGTTTTGCAAGGTTCTAGGGGTTCTGGATGTTTCCTGAGGTCTCACGGCCATGCATATTAGCCCTGTAATTCTAGCAAAGGAAAGGAAGTTGGAGTTGAGAGACTGCAACAAATTCGCATCGCTGACTCTTCTTGTCTGAGCCGCCTTCCTACACTCCTCCAAGCTTCCATGGTTCTGAGTGGAATCTTTGAATCCATCCCTGGGCTTTTTATTTACAGGGCTTCTTGCCCATTAACAGTGAAAAGTCTGACTAGAATTCAAATTAAAAAATCTTTAAAAAATAATCTTGAGGGCTGGAAAGATGGCTTAGCAATTAAGAGCACTGTCTGCTCTAGCACAGGACCTGGGATTGAGTCCCAGCACCCACACGGTAGCTAACAACTATCCATAACTCTAGTTTCAGAGGAGTCTGACGTGCTTTTCTGACCTCTGCAGGCATTGCATGACATAGGTGCACTTACACACATGCAGGCAATACACTCATACACATAAAATAAAAATAATAAATAAAACATTAAACAATTAATCTTGAGCTGTGACCTTTCTCAGAATTTGCAGGGGAGGGGGAGTGTTCCATTTCCTAAAGCCCAGGTGTCTATCAGATGGAACTTTGGGAAAATGTTAAAGGCACAGACAAATTCTTAGCTCATGAATTCTTTATTAAATACCTAGCCTTAATTTTCCTACAGGAGTACTATTGGTTTAGTTCCATTCGGTTTGTTTTGGTTTGGTTAGGTTTTGGGGCAGTGCCTGACTCTCCTGGTCTAACAATTCCTGCAGACTTGAAACAGCCAAAATTCCCCCTTCCCAGTTGGAAGCCAAAAGTTAAGTTTCTTCTGATGGTTCTGAGAATCACTTCTGGATTTTCTATCAGCCTTTGCTGGTTTCCAGCTGTCCTTGGTGTCCTTGGCTTAACGTCTGCTTCTAAGCCACATAGTCTCTGTTTGCTCCCTTCCATCTCATAAGGACACCAGATTGTAGATGTGGGGTCTGATTGGAGGATCCAGGAGGATCTCCAGCATGAGAGCCTTATCTCATTACACTTACCAAGACCCTTTTCCCAAATAAAGTCATGTTCCCAAGTTCTGAGGGTTGGGCTTGCACAAATTTTTTAGGAGCTACCACTCAAGTTAGACTAAGGACCTCGTCCCAGCCTGAGCAAATGCAGCCCAAGTGCAGATTCCTCCAAGACTTGCAGTTCTGCTAGAGGAACTTAGTATCTAGGGGGATGGTGACCACTATGCTGCAGAGTTTGGAGGGCTTCAGGGCTCTTGAAGGTACTACCCTGCTCTCAGGGCCCAGGGGGCATGAATGGGAAAGGCAGGTGGGCTACAGCAGGAGAGAGCTGTTGGATCACCTGCACTGGCTGTGGAATGTTGAGCTTCGTACTTCTTGGATGAACAAAGATGCATAGGTGCTCTTCTGGCCAGTATGCTCTCCTGAAAGGAGATTAGGAACCAGATGTGATCCAGCTGCACAGCAGAATAACCTGGGAGCTTGAAACACGCTAGCTTGGCCTCCCTAGACTGGTTGAGCCTAAGTCTGAGGGTGGGTCCAGGCAATGGTTGGTACCTAGTACCCTTCTCAGAGGCCAGGAGCCCTTTCTACCTGCTTCCCCTGCAATATGAGGCAAGATTAACCACATATTAGATACCAAGGCTTTGAGATGCTGCCATCTTCCCCAACATGAGGCATGCTTCTTTTCTGGAATTGAGCCAGACCTGGAAAAACTGGTTGGCTTGCTTTCTGAGGGAATTGACCTGCCTGTCCTATTAGTTGTGGACCCTGAATCCAAATAGCTAGAAGCATGTTTGGTCTGGAATTGAACCCCTCCTGCTAGTCCATGTCCAAGAGAAATCCAGACAGGCAGTAAGCACAGCACTGAAGACTTACCCATGGCAGTAACCAAAATGATATGGGTGCAGATATCAAAATCAGAAAAATTGTGGCCCTATTTGTGATAGCTTCAGATAAGGTGAACCCTTGCAGTGCTGTCCCTTTTAATGGGGCTGTTTGGCAAGATGGGGCAAGCACTTTGGAAGCATCCTTAGTCCTCTTCACCTGCAGACAGTTGGATACTTAGTGATTACTGCATTGGAGTGACCCTCATGGCACCATTGTCTGTCACCATCATGAAAGGCTGTGGTGAAATCAAAGACCATGTATTTGATGACACTGGCCTGCAAGGCCAGTGTCTTGAACATTTTGTTGCATGGTATGAAAAGGCCAGGGGATTAAATGATGTATAAAATGTGAAATAACTAAGATCTGCAAGTGTGTACCCTGCCATCACTTGGGTGGATGTGGAGGTGAGATTGCTAGTAATAAAGTTTTCCTTTTGTCTTGATTTATTCTATGCCTTTGATTCACATCCATTACTTTGATACTTAGGAAGTAGCTATTACAGTCAGCTCTGAGGTTTCCTCTGTGGCTGAGGAAAATTCACTGTTAATGACAGTGATGCAAAGGGCCAATTCAACTTTCATGATGCTTACACTTCCTAAGGCTGCTGCAACAAAATACCACAGATTGGTGGCATACACAACAGGGGTTTACTGTCCTGCAGAGGTCCAAAATGAAGGTGTGGGCAGAGTGGGTTCCTCATGAGGGAAAACCTATTCCAGGCCCTTCTCCTAGTATGTGGCAGGCCCCAGCAGTTCTTGGACTTGCATCTCTTGTATCTGCCACTCCTGTCACATGGAGTGTATTTCCTCCTCTTGTGTGTTTCCTCTTTTTATAAGCACCAGTGTCAAACAAACGTGGACATTTGATAGCACTATGAAAACATTTTGTTCAGTAACTGATGACAGTGATGGAAAGAGTTGGTCTTTGCTGATCTACACAGATGGTCCAAGCAGCATGAGGGTTTTGAGTATGGAGCTGTGGACAGCGACATGGACAGCATCATGGATATGGAGGGGAGAGGAAGGGGAATCTGGTGATTCCTGGGCTTTTGGCTCACACACCTGGGGACCTGGGCCATCTACCACTGGAGGACTAGGAAAAGGGAAGGTCAGTTGGGGGAAGGGGTTCAAGATCCAGCTAGGCTCTGTGTGACATCCCCTCCTGGGTGCCTTAATCTTATCTATACTGTTAGGGTGGTTTCATGTTGAGGCTGCAGACTCTCTATTGTCCATTGCTCATGTGGCAACCAGAGTGATCTGGTGAACCTGTTTCTGCATTGCTTAATGTCCTCCACTGATTTTCTGTTGCTTGAGACCTAAACTTCCTCAGCCTCTGCTGCTCTGTTCTCACTTCATATCCCATCTCAGTAGGTCCAACTGTTTCATTCTGGCCTTTTTTTCCTCCCTCAAAACCACTTAGTGCTTCTGTGTCTGAAGGTCTTTGCTCCTGTGGTCTCCTTTGTTGAAAAGGCTCTGTCCTCTAATCTGTACAATTGACTTCTTTTTGTCATTCAGTTCTAAGTGTAAACAAACTGTTTCCTCTGAAGTCTTCACCCCAAATCATGTTACTTTGATTTAATTCCCTGCATCAGCTAAAACTACTGACCTTTTCTGTTCTGTTTTCTCTTTCACTAGAGGGAGATAAGCCTTGTCCATCCAACTTGGTGGCATATGTTAGACTGGTGCTCAATATAGGGATAACCACATGTTTACTGGTCGCCTGAACTTGTCTGAAGCAATACCAGGATTCCTTTGTCAGTATTTTTATGGATATCCACTGTCACTGTAATTGGTAGTTGACAGAAATTATTGTATTAATGTGTTAGAAATGGTAGCACTGGAATCTTATTTTAGGAACTGTGGTGAGGATGAGTATGGCATTTTTGTATGTTGCTGGGGATGGAACCCAGGGCCTTGCACATGCTAAATAAGCATGCACACCACCTACTTATCTATAACCCCAGGCTATCAGTATTCCCCCCACCCCACAGAGTCCTACCCTGACTGGCATGGAACTTACTGTATAGCCCAGTGTGACCTTAAATTTGCAGCCATCCTCCTGCCTCAACTTCTCTAGTGCTGGGATTACAAGTGTGCCACCCTGTCTGGCTAGCATTTTAA